TCTCCTTCTCCTCTCTCTACATTCCACTCCTCCTTCTCCTCATCTTCCCCCCTTACCCTCTCTCCTATCCCTCTCTTCCCACCTTTCTTCTCCCTTCTGCTTCCCAGTCTTCCTCTCATTCGTGTATTTCCGCTTCCATACTATTCTACTTCCCCTTCCTTTCTCCTTCTCCTCTCTCTTCATTCCACTACTTCTCCTCCTCATCTTCCCCCCTTACCCTCTCTCCTATCCCTCTCTTCCCACCTTTCTTCTCCCTTCTGCTTCCCAGTCTTCCTCTCATTCGTGTATTTCCGCTTCCATACTATTCTACTTCCCCTTCCTTTCTCCTTCTCCTCTCTCTACATTCCACTCCTCCTTCTCCTCATCTTCCCCCCTTACCCTCTCTCCTATCCCTCTCTTCCCACCTTTCTTCTCCCTTCTGCTTCCCAGTCTTCCTCTCATTCGTGTATTTCCGCTTCCATACTATTCTACTTCCCCTTCCTTTCTCCTTCTCCTCTCTCTACAATCCACTGCTCCTTATTCTCATCCTCATCTTCCCCCCTTACCCTCTCTCCTATCCCTCTCTTCCCACCTTTCTTCTCCCTTCTGCTTCCCAGTCTTCCTCTCATTAGTGTATTTCCACTTCCATACTATTCTACTTCCCCTTCCTTTCTCCTTCTACTCTCTCCTCTTACCACTCCTCCTTATACACCTCAGATGAGGTGATCAGAACATTTTTGCCCACCAAAAGAAACAATAATGAAAGAAAATGAAAATGATTCTTCTCTGCACAGGAATATCACATTTCAGTCAATCCATAGATCAATTAACCTTCGTCACGTAAGGTATTGCTTTGCACAATTAACTTCAGGGCACTCACAAGCTCCCGAGATTTTCCTGAATGTGGGTGGGCTGCACCTCTGCGTAAATTATACTCTTGACCCATCCCAGCATGGAACACTTGGTTATTTTTGCTCAGAATGCATTGAAGTAAAAAACAGAGGCTTTCTGGTCAAGCGATATCTTTGGCTACCCAAATCACCTGCTCATTTTTATTTTATTTATTTATATTCTGCCTTCATTATTTAGACCAGTGTTTCTCAACCTTGGCAACTTGAAGATGTCTGGACTTCAACTCTCAGAATTCCCCAGCCGCTCGCGCGGCTGCATTCTGGACAAGCTGAAGTCTCCGAACGCTCTTCAAGGGCTGCCCCATGTAGAGCGAGGTCATTGCAGTGCTTGGATTTATGTAAATATTATAATGATGATTCCTGATATTGACCAAGCTAACTCTGAAATTAAAGTCAGAGCCTTGGCTGAAGCAGTGGCTGCTTGGAAGCCATACAATTTGTAAGAAAAGAAGATAAGCAGTGCCTCTGCTGGAGTGGTGCCTATCTAGTCCAGAAGTCTGTCTCACAGTAGGCAACCATCTGCATAGGGAAGCCTACTAGATGTCATGCTCTGTTTTGCTGCTTGCTTTTCGGCTGCCATTGAAACGGGGAGGGGGGAGGCATGGTAATTGGGTGAGGGAAGTATTCTGTGCCGGAGTGACTGTAAGAAGGGAGTTGTGCTGACCATCTACTGCGCATGTGGCAGGGAGAGGAGTTTCCCGCCAAGGCCAACTGTCCGGCATACCAACCTGATGATGGTTTTTGAAGAATGTCTCCCACATGACACCTGTAGAGTGTTTGGATTGGACTATGGGATAGGGTTACCAAGGGGAGGGGAATGGGCCACATATTGATATCTATGATTACGCGCGCTTTTGCCTCAGATCCTGCTTTGCCTAGCTACTATCTACTCATGACCAGTAAAAGTACTCTTAATTCTGCAAAATGGAATTGAGTGGTTTCTTTCTTGGTTACTGAGTGAAGCAGTCCTGACAGGGTTTATTTATTTTCCATTTATATTAATATCT